TTTTTACTTCTCTTTTTTCGCTCCCCGCGTCACTTCGATCTGCTTGTTCGCCGTAGCCGCTGCTTCCTCGAACGAAGGTATTACGGATTCTTTTGAGAATGTGTTTTTCAGACAGCCCATTGTGTGTCATGGGCTTTTTATTTGACTCGCGGAGAGCTGCCTGGATATTGAAGTGGACCCCGAGCGACTATTTTTCCTATTTCTGCCCTTCGATATCCCGTGCACGATATCGCCGAACTAATTCATATATATATATGTGAGATAAAGAAAGAGGGAGATGAAAAAAGGCTGATAACATCTTTTATCGCAGCTCATTCCTTCTGCCGCTTCGTTCCAGCATTGTATCTATATCTAATAAATTTCTCGGATCGATGTACATAATGTAATGTAACCAGCACACAACGTGCGCGCATCTCGAATATTTCGATAAATTATGTCGATAGCGACGCAAGTCGAGCTCGCGAACAATTCGAAACTCCCACCCTCCCTACTCGGCCCCAACAACTTATTTTCCAACTCGATTCGAATTGTCAAAAATAAAATTATACACTCGGGCAAGGTAACATTCGCACACATGAAACTTGTATACGGGCATTTCTGTACACAAATAAAATATGTCCAATATTTGTAAACATAATCGTACTTTTGGTTCAAAAAATATTTAAAAATAATCGTAATCGTAATTTTTTGAATTTAAAAAAAAAAGTTCGATTATGCTTACAAATATTGGACATATTTTATTTGTGTGTACAGAAATGCCCGTATACAAGTTTCATGTGTACGAATGATACCTTGCCTACACTCGGTATGCGTACGCTTTGATATTTATATACGCTCTCGCAAGCTCGTTGTTTTTTTCCTTTCGATCGTCGCAAATTCACGATTTCCAAAGTCGTACGGTATAAACGTCGCACACTGCTCTCGAGAGCTTGCGATTCCACGACTAGCTTGTCCCCGGCAATTGAACAAAGCAACACACAAGCTCACGAGCAGAGTTGATACGCCGGGCCACACACAACAAAAAGACGGGTAATCCTCTTTCGTGGGCGCAAAAATCGCCCGCCGCGTGCACAAGAAGGTGAGCTACTAGAGCGGGCAAAAACCGCAGCAAAAGCATCAGGAGCGTGGTAATGTCCAGTTCTTGGTAGATAGGAGAAAAGAGAGAGAGAGAAAGGGAAAGAGCTATAATGCACACGAGCGTGCATCTAGCCTCCAAAAAGCAAATACACAGACGCACGTACACACCGAGGCGGTGGCGGCGGCGAGCCGAGCGCTTGCAAAGCGATCCGCACTAAGCACTACAAAGCTCAGGTGATATTTCTATAACGCAGAGGCAAAAGCACTCCCCTCTCACTCTCTCTAGAGTCTACAAAATCCCAAGCATTGTTCTCTCTCGCTGTTTCTCTCTCTTTCCCCGGGCTTTATAACAATGGCACGAAGGCTGCAGTTGAATTGCCGAGAGCCAAATTTATTAATCGAGCGTACAATGAGCTTATTGAGGGGAAGAAGCTACCACCACGAGAGCTTGGCGGCGGCAGTAGCAGCAGCAGCAGCAGCAGCATCTCGGCTCTTGGACTAGCTGAGCGCATTAATGCAGAGCTCGAGCTCGTACGTATCCATATATAACTGGCGAACGCAAATCAATGCATATGTAAAGCGAAGAGCATAATGCACAGAGATGTACTGCAGCAGTCCTACGCTATATGTACTTCGATTCGGCCTCGAGAGAGATATAAAAGAGAGAGCGAGAGAGGCTACGCCGTGGAAGTAGCTGGAGAGGTATACGTACATTTTCTATTTTTACTTTTTAAAAAAATGTATCGAGCCCTCAAAGTTATAATTAACATTCAATTATCGAGGAGCGCTATGTTGGCGTTTGGGTGCGTACGACTGCGCGTGCACATACATACTCTCTCGCGTTAGGTAGATCGAGGGTGTAGACACTGTACGTTACACTCAAACTATATTTGGTATTTGACGGGGCGTTTGTAGGTATAGTCGACGTATGCACGCGTATACATGCACACACAAGCTGGATGTTGCATTTGTGCACTTGCTCTGACGATGTGTAGATTTCTCAGCCCGAGCCAGCTCTGACAGGTAAACAGACGAGGGCTTGCTGCCTCTCTGTACGCGTACGACTTTGATCGATCCATTGTCTCGAATGCCTAATAAGACGCTATGGGCGTTTCCTCGAAAGAAGCTTTATTAGTCTTTACCTCGTGTTTGAAGATTCGATGATGATTCCCGCTAACCGAGCGCAAACAACTTTATCGATGAATTTTAAACGCGTGGTTACGTTTGTAACGACAGCAGAGATATCTCAACGTTTACAGAGACTGCTCGCTATTCTATATATACATTGTGTATGAACGATAGGAATTACGATGAAAATTTCTGCGATTATCCCGATCAAATTAACAAGGTTAACGCCTCGTTGGCAGCATTTGACGATATTAACGACTCGATCGAGGCCCGCAAAACGAAGCCATATTTTTCACTTTCATATCGACGATTCATGTGTGTGTGTGTGTATGTATGTGTGAGGCACGGCGGTGGCCCGGCGTGTGTATAAGGCTAACGGGCTCGGCAGCTCTCGAGTGAACCTTTTGTCAGGCTAAAGCGAATAAGTCTTTTTCACGCTCATGAAACTGATGTTCGGCATTTGTCTCACGTACCTCTTTTTTATGATTTTCCACTTTTCGTACCCCAGACCACCAGACCACCAGCACACACACACACACACACACACACACTTAATATACTTATATAAAAAGAGAATAGCAGCTGGAAAAAGAAATCGTGCGTTCACACGAGTGAACGGGAAAGGCTAGGGTGGAAATTGCCCCGACTTAAGATGAAAAATGACTGAGAGGGTCAAGTATAAGAAACATTGGGCCAGCTTTTCGAAGATTCCATTTTGCGGAATAATAAACGCGCCGGGTGTCGAAAAAAGATGATCAGAGCACGCGCAAATGTTGTATCTGTTTGTTGAACTGTGCGTTGTGGCGAGCATCTCCAGAGTACATGAAAATCTGTCGTAAGACTCAAGATTATAGAAAACTAGCTCAAGGGGGAAAAGCTTCTAAGTATAGCCTACGCGAAGGCAATCCGCCAATGCCGCACGTCGACCTAACGCGCTTGCACACACCGATCTAGCCAACGCGGCGGATCGTTGAAATATTTGAATTAAATACATTTCAAAATAAAAAATATATATTTCGCTGTCTTACTTGTACATAGTTTGTATCTTGTAGTTTAAGCATATTACTTACATGTCCGAATGACCGTTACATCTATTTCGAGATGTTTTATTGCTTTTCACACATTTCACTCCAAGCCATGTATCCAGACTTAAATTACTGACTGACGTCAAAAAGTCTTCTAGATTCTTCTACTTCCTTCACCGACAATTTTCGGCTATATGTCACAATCAAATGACAATGCATTCTCATTATGTTCTTTATAAAATTATAGTTTTCAAGTCAAGTCGATCGGTGCAGGCCCGATCTAATACGTTACCCAGAACTACCGCAACAGCCGACTCAATAAACTGCTACGGTTCGGTGACTTACTGTATTATGTTTCTTTATTAAACATTGCTTTAAACTACAAAAATATCCTAGCGTAAAATAATAACAAAAGCATTGTAATTTGAATGTGCGCATAGCGTTGAATTAAATAATAATCTATTGGCAAGTTATTCATCTAAATGATATCACGTGCTTTGCTAACGAATATAATCCTTTATTCCGGGGTATATTGTTTTTTCGCAAGTCCTGTAGTAGTATTAGATATTTGTATAATAAATGTTTCCTCAAAAATATAAAAAAATATATCTTCAAAAATGAATCATAATTAGTCAAAAATTCGTTTTAGTAAAGAAAATATTTATTTTTCAAAATGACAAGTATACCTTAAAATATTTTTCCCTTACAATTGACTAAGTTACGCAAGCATCTAAATAAACAAATGCTATTATCATGCAGTCGTTCAGCATGTGTCACATAAATGCAAACAAATAAATATGTTTATTTCTTATCGTCTAATTACTTTACAATTTTTAAATATACATATGAATATATAAGTAAACGGTAATGTTCAATTGTGTATAAAAATATTAAATGCTCTAAAGTGTATTTATACATTTTCAGTCTAGTTAGTTAAGTCAACATTTATAGACGCATTTACTGTTTGAGCCCCTACATTATATAAACTAATTTCCACTTTTTTACTTCACAAATATATAATATAAAATATAACTGCGATACACAGAGGCATTTCAACCTATGCGGAAATTTGCAAATAGCGCGTTTCTCTTTTGGAATATGCGCGAGTGTATTTGCGAGGCAGAAACATTATCCCGAAAATTGCTTCGATGATTTTCCCAGGCGAAAAACATGGCGATTTGGGTAAAATTCAAGCCAGTCCCCGTACAAATATTGACCGATAAGGCAAAAAGTATGCGGCTTTATAACACATTAAATTTAAACAGGAACAGCTCCACGCCCCGTATAAGTGCTTTGAGTGCGAGGCCGAAAATTCCCTCGCTCCATCCGAGCGGTCCGAGCAATTCACCGAAGATACTAGCGAATCGAAAAATAAGTTAGCGTCAGAAATTAAAAAATGAAAACTCAATTTCACGTACATACAGGAGTATTCTCGCACGTGCATACCGTTGGACCAATTGAGAGAAAAAATACTTCGAGTGCCTGTGTGTATAGTCCCGGAAAGAGACCCATAGAGAAAAAAAAGGGAAGGAAAAAAAAAGAAAAGTAACAAGTCAATGTACAACAATTGCATCAGAGGGAACACTCGCTCACGCTTGCCCGAGTAAAGAGAAGCCGGGCGTGCGAGTGTGCGCATATTCAAAGCCTCGCCGATCTATGGGCGATGCACTTGTCGAGAGGGAATTGAGCCTCCTCTTTTGATTCGTCTTGACCGAGCGCGCGCTCGACAAAGGTCTCTTTTGCCTATGTGTGTGTGTGTGTGTGCCCCACTCAGAGCTTCGTGACTGCAGCGTCTGGCATGTTGACCCCCTGCAAGCCGGCTGAGGCTGAGGCGGCTTCTGACCTTTCGTCCGTGCGGCGAAGCGTCGTGGGAACACGCATTAAAGTCGCGCCACCGCCAGCACCACCACCAGCAGCGGTCGATAGCTCACCGGGCAGAGGCATTTTTTCTCGACGCGCCACCAGCAAGCGCTGATACGTCTCGTTGTCTTGGAGATTGAGCGCTCGATTGAGCACCGTCGTGGATTTGGCCGGTCGCTGAGGTCGCGGCAGAGTGCCGAGCTGCTGTTGCGCCGAGCTTTGCGTCGGCTTGATAATGATACGAGGCAGTTTCGTGCCCGCACGATCGCCCACGACTCGTCGCGGGCTGTCCGGCTCGTCCACCGCGAGTAGGTCGCGCTGCAACTGCGCCACGACAAAACAAAATTAATATACCATTCTCGTCGACACGTGTATAAATTATGTCATTGAAACCTACATTTACCGTCGGTGTTTGATTCTCCGTGAGCCTAGGCTTGATGACGATTCTCGGCTCGCTGCGTGCCGGCAGCGTTTCCGCGGAAAAAACGTCTCTCAAACTGCCGTGCACCGGGCACATTGGGAGACTCGATGCGCTCGACAATTGTTTCTGATACTGGTCCCCGGCATCCACCAGACTCGGCACCGATCTGTTCTTGCCAGTCGAGTCGGTTTTTTTGCGCAATGGACCAACGTGTAAGATCGATGTCGTTGTGTTCTCGTCGTCTCCACCCTCCTCTTCGTCACCGTCCTCCACGCAGTCCAGGCTTCTGTAATTTATTTTTTCCACCACAGATATAATAAAAAATCTTGTCTACAGCAAAGAAAATACGTTTAAAACGAGCAGCAAAACTTGAGTTAACCTTAGAAATCAACTTAGCTTAAAAGCAATCAGTCAGTTGAGTTATCTAATGTTATCCTTCACGTATACGCGATGCATTCGTGAGATCTGTATGAGCACTATATGTACCTGGATGTGCCGTAGAGTCTCGGTGGCGGTGAGGGCGGCTCGAGCGGTCTTTGCCTCGGTGGTAACGATCGGCGTTTCTCGATGTCCGGCAGTACCTTGGGGTAATTGCGACGCCTGATTGTCCGGAGGGCTTCCTCGTGACTGTCGGCCGTACTGTTGGCCGATGCTGCCACCGCCAAGTCATTGCTGCTGGGCTCCTCGCGGCTCGTCACGTTCACGTCGAGCGGCACATCGCTCCTGAACGTCAGCAGACACGGCAGAGTCGTTGATGCGTTTACCGGTTGCTGCTGCTGCTGAGGCAATTGCAACTGCCCTAACTCCTGTGACATAGAGAGAGAGAGAGAGAGAGTGAGGCAGATATTCATGGTTGAACAATTTTATACCAGATAAATCACGGGGAGCACACGCGTCGTTCGAGCTAAGGCAATTCAATTTTCGAAAAATATTTATTGAGCTTACGGCGTCGTTCTGTTGATTTCGCTGATTCTTCAGAAAACGGGATTTCATCATGGGATTGACCTTAGCGTAGAGACTGCTGGCACTGCCCGAGTCGGACTCGTGAATGCGCCCGACGGTCTTGCCGGCCGACAACGAATTCGCATCCTTGGAATGATGATGCTCCACGACCACCGTGTTTGGTCCTCCTTTTGTGTCCTAAGAAAAATTCGAATGAATGATCGATTAACGAGCGCTGGAAAAGGAGATGAAAAATAAAAGAACAAGAAACAAAAGAACGTTTCTCATATACGCAGGAATTAAACTTAAATACTGCTTTTATCCGCAGCTATGGTTCTCGGTGAAAGTTGAAACTTCGTTCGAAACTAAAATCTAACTGCTTTCTTGATCCTTGCGAAGACAATTAACCCGTTTCGGGCCAAACGGACGAAATTTCAGTTATTTTTTCATTCGCTGTAAACTCTGTGAAAAAATTATGTCAGAAATGTCAGAATAGTCATAACCGACGTAAAATTTTATGAACTTTTTGAATCCGGCGTCAGAATTGTCAAAAAAGTTGATGTGTAAAAGTTATGAACAATTAAACAATAAAAAACACGATTTTTTTGAAAAAAAATTTGATTTGATCCGAATTTTCGAGTCGAAACAGACTTGCTCTATAGGTCTAACACGTTTTTTTTGCGTCCATGGGGTGTAGACTTAAAAGTCCAATAGTTAAGATATCGAAATTCAACATTTTCTCTATAACGTTTTGTTCCTAGGCGCTTGGTTGACATATAAAAAAATTGACTACATTCATATACGGTTTTTTTCTACGAAGCGCCATTTTCGTGTCCGCCATGTTAAATTTCGATATCGTAACTATTGGACTTTCAAGTCTACACCCCATGGACGCAAAAAAAAACGTGTTAGACCTATAGAGCAAGTCTGTTTCGACTCGAAAATTCGGATCAAATCAAATTTTTTTTCAAAAAAATCGTGTTTTTTATTGTTTAATTGTTCATAACTTTTACACATCAACTTTTTTGACAATTCTGACGCCGGATTCGAAAAGTTCATAAAATTTTACGTCGGTTATGACTATTCTGACATTTCTGACATAATTTTTTCACAGAGTTTACAGCGAGTGAAAAAATAACTAAAATTTCGTCCGTTTGGCCCGAAACGGGTTAAAAGTATATCGAGGAGCGTGTTGCACGCGCCGTCTGGATATGGCAGGCTAAATATGCGGCGTAACATATTTAGAAAAAGTTAAAAAAAAAAATTTTAATTCTCAAGTATAATTTACAATACATTTTCAGTGACATCAAAACCGAAAACTATTTTTTCGTATAATGTATGAGTTCATTCAAAGTTCACATGGAAAGGTTCATAGCTGAAGTTAGGCTGATATTATTTGCCGAATATTTGTCGATGATTTGTAATACGCAAATTATCAATTTGTTTAACTTGCAAATCCGAATATTACTAATATTAGGGCTGTGCGAGTACTCGACTCGAACTCGTCGAGTCGAGTTCAAGTCGAGTAAAATTCGAAAACTCGGGTACTCGCACAGCCCTAACTACTTGATACTACTTGATACTTGAAAATGTATTCAATAGTATTTTTGAGAATCGATAATTTACTCGATACTATTTAGTACTCGATTATTGCCGAGTCGATACCTTTCTAACAAAGTATCGAGTACTTGACATCGCGACAATGTAGTTTGTTTACAGTTTTTATATAGTTGACCAGAATTTGAGCATACTGTGTATAATTGCGAATTATATTTGAAAATAAAGTATCTGAGCTGCTATAGACCCTGCTCGTTGTTAGCTCGTGGCTATTATTGTCCTATTTTAATTTTATGTATTGTTGTAATTTCGAATCTGATATTTTGATTAGTTCGTCTTCATTTACTTTTACATAAATAACGAATCTCCTTGGATCCTACGGAAATGCGTTAATTGAAGCCGGCTTACGCCAAGTCAATTAAATATGTTAATATTTTTATGTTCTTTTACAAAAGAAGAATGGTCAGTGTAATTGAAGAAATGCATTATCAGTTTAAATGTAAAAAATCAAATGATAATTTTAAAAAAAAGTTTAAATTTTATATGTAAGCTAGATATGTAATAAGATATAATTAAAATATTTTTAATAAACATAAATACTAAAATAAATACTAATAAAATTCATAATATTATGCCCTGGCATAACTTCGCATTATAAAAACCAGAGTAATTTGGATCGATACTTCGATACTTTTCTTAAGGGTCCTCTATACACACTCGGTCGGTAACTATATTCGCGTATTTTGTACCCATTTTTTTCATTTAGTATGCAACCTATGGTCTTGAAATTTTGTGGGAGTGATCATGAAACTAATACAAATGTGCCTATGAAGCTATTTTTTCAGATAATTGAAAAAAAAAAATTGTTACAATATTTATATGAAAAAATAGCTTCATAGGCACATTTGTATTAGTTTCCTGATCACCCCCACAAAATTTCAAGACTAATGGTTGAATAGAAAATGAAAAAAATGAGTAAAAAATACACGAATTAGTTACCGACTACAGTGTGTATAGAGAAGAAGCCTTAAAGTATCGAGTAGAGAGAATCGAATACTTCTTTTTTAATCGATGCCAAGACTCGATACTTTTAAGAAGTATCGCCGGTCCCCTAGCCCTAACTAATATAGCTACAACCATTACACTTTTCCAGTTTTAAATAAAAATATCATGTTAACCACTTATGAGTTTCTAAAAATTTATATATTCGCCACCTGTTGGTGATGTATGTAACAAGGAACTTGTAGCATTAACACTATTTGAATTGAAGAACTATCATTTTATTTTGAAAATTATCTATCAAATTATTGTGGATAGCTGGCTATAGAATGAATTGATAAAGACTTAATTCATTATTAGAAATCGAGGAAATAATAACTGTTCATTAGAAAAATAAACAATGGTAAATATTAAACTTTACCTACGAAATTGCACGTATGCTTTCACGTATCTATAGAAAATATACAGAGCCTGTAAGTGTGGCAAAAAAAAAGTACTCACCAAATGCAGTTGTTTCTCGTCGCTTTGCTGCAAATCCGAGGGCTCGCAGTACTCGGATAGCAGCGCAACGCCGGCTGCGTCGAGATACTCGTCCGTGGCAGTCGCGGCAGCCGCCCGAGACAGCTCGATGGGAATTTGATCGAGTACGGAGTTGGTGCGAGCCGTGATTGTGGCGTCAATGCCTACGGAAACTTTGGGCGGCGGTGGCCCTCGGCGGACACCCGGTCTTACGCGAATTTGAGCCAAGTTACAGTCTTGCGTGGCGGCTGCGGCGGCCTCTTCCTCTTCGCCGAACTGTAGCGTGTGCTGCTGTTGTTGCTGCTGACGCATCAACTTTTCACGGTGCTCACGTTGAAGCGTCTCTCGGGTTTTACGGAGAAAGCGTGGCGAGCACCTGCTTATACGGAGAGAGAGAGAGAGAAGGCACGAAGTTAGCGCGTTGCAAATTTACAAAGCCTGCGACTTTTTATGCACCCGCGTGCGAGCTTCATACATATATATACACATGACTATAGCAATTTAGCCTTTATTCGGATTATATTCGAGGTGCGCTCTTAATTAATTCAATTGACACATTTTTTTTATTTCTAATTTTTAATCCTTTTTTATTTGGCCTTTATTTTTTCACAAAACTTGAGGTCAAACGTAGTTCGTACTCTACACGCAGCGTGTAAAATTAAACCGAACTCGCAAATGCTCGAGTTTCAAAATTCCATATATAAAAGTTTTGACATGACTTTTCAGTGCCTCAGATTGATGCCTATCAAGTACAAGGATCTCGACCCGGTTTTGTCCTGCAGTGTTGTGCGAGCTTTCAACAGTGTTTTCCATGCACTCTTTGGTTTTGTTAATAGTAATTGTTTCCAAAATGGAGAAGAGATATTATATAAATGAGTTGAACTCGCGCGCGCTACGCTAACAATATTATTCCAGTAATTATCGAAGTGGCTAGTTGTATAACAAGAATATTCAAAATTAAACAACGAGCTTGTTTCAGTAATATAATTAGCTGAGGTAAGCTTTTTAGTAACCCGGGACGGTAGTAGTATCGCGCTGGGAACACATAACGAGTATCTTTCAATTGACCTACTTTCCTAATTCTATCAAGAGACAAGCTGCGATTTCAGTTTTAAACGCCCTTTGTTTCGCGCAGCCTTTGACTGCGCGCCTATATATCTATTTTCGATAAGTTTTCATTTGCCATTATTTGCAGCCAGTGAACGCGCATCATCACAGGTTCTAGGGTACACATCCTCGATAAAATTAAAGCTAGCGTAAAAAATTGGAATTAACGCGAGAATTTTTAAATCAAACGATGAATTAAGCAATAGTTGAAATTTGAAACTCTTGCGTGGTGTATGCGCCCAGCAGTAGCATTTCATCTTGAAACAAGCGGTTGTGCGCGCGCTCGCGTACACGAATGAAAGTTTAACTGCGGCTTCCCTAAGCCCAGCCACGAGGATCTATTAAAAATGAAAAGCTCCATTACTTGGAACCGCAGGAGTTTGTGAAATTTTCACGGGCCTGCTGGAAGGCAGAAAAAAAGGGAAGACCGGAAAACAAGTTGAAAATGGTTAAAGAATATACGGGCCGCCGTACGCGGCCATCATTGAATTAACTATTTTCACTCTCGAGCAGATTCTCCGTTTGGTTTTTTAATTCTCTATCCACACGCGTGCAGAGCTATTTTAACTTGCACATACCGGACATACCCGATATAGTAGAGCACATACACACAGACATACTCACGTTACGAGAAAAAAAAAAGTTCAAAAGCTTTGTCAATACTTGAATAGACCAATTTTGTTGTCGAAAAAAAGATTATTTTTCAAGGCTTTAGGTTGTTTTGTATTTTCAAAACTTTTTGATTGATGAAACGATATTTGCACGCCTGTCAATTGTCATTTGCGAACATATTTGCTCGACAATTGATCAAAGGGCCGATTTCTATGTTGGCATTTTAAGTGCAATTTTTTGATAAACTAAAAATTCCATTTTACTCGTCAAACGGTCTAAAAACAACTTTTTACAAAATTTCAACAGAATTTTCTACTTAGATTCCCCGAGGCTCGTCGCGCGCGAACTCTTCTCGCATAAATTCTGCCAACAACGAAAATTCACAGCTCATAATATCATGCCGAGTCTCTACAAGCATATAATCCCCGAAAAGTCGTAATGAGACGTAATTTCGCAAATGATGGAAATGCGTAAAACTAACCGCACGAGCTCAAAAAAACGACAATAATAACAATGTACTATTGAAATTCAATCGTTTATTAATGATTCCGACGGAAGCACGAGACCGAGTGTTAAATTTCATGCCCCAACTGTCCGAGAGAGAAAGAGAGAGAGAGAGAGAATATTGTATGTCATAAAATAATCCCCGGGCCCTCGCGCGCGCACAGCGCAGACCGACGATGAGAACGGGGAGCGGTGGAAAAAAAACAAACAGATTTTAGTTAGCTCGTTCGTAACTCAGAGCTTCAACAAGACAGCGAATTCAATAAGAAAGTCTGTATTGTCTTAGCTCCCCGGCTGCGTGGAGCGCGAGCATATATAGAGCAAAGTTCAAATAATAATTTTGAAGTGTATACGAAACTTTGGGGCAAAGTAATGGCTTAGGCAGCAGAGAGAAGCTCGCTCAGGAGATAAGGGAGAGAGAGAGAGAGAGGTACGGGGATGGAGGGCGCGGAGACAGGCGAGGATAGACGAGGCGAGAAGACGAGTACAAAGAAAAAGTCTATATGCAAGAGCTCTACTGCGCGCAAAAAAAGGAATTTCCGACATTCGCATATAAGCCTTTTGTTGTTGAGCTGCTGGAGCAGCAGTAGCAGCAACAGCGGTAACGTTGCGTCTCGAACTTTGGGCTATATACTGAAACTCTGCTCGGTGCAAAGCTTTCTTTCGCTCTCTCGCTCACCTACGACACACGTATATAGATATATATACATTAATCGAGGACGCGAGAGAGATAGACATGAACTGGGTACGGCTTTTTCTATACTTTTGGAAATCACACGAGCTACAGTGTACGAGTGTATGTTCGTTTGTGCCTGTGTGAAAACTGAGAGGTTTTATCCGCTCATTAGGCGAAAATGTTGCCATTAAAGTTGGGCACACGTTATATTGATACTCGACAAAGTTTTACAGTTGCCGCCACCTGTGCGGCTATACATACAAATTGGGTATGTGTAGAGCAGCCGTGAGTGCGAATAAAATTCGCACGAGAGGCGCACGAACAGCGTCAACAGGGGCCTATTTTTACCTCTCTCTCTCTCTCTCTCTCTCTCTCTCTCTCTCTCTCGCCAGTTCGCAAACCAGTATCACCTAGACGAGCTAGAAAGTTTTTTCCGAGCTTACGTTGCTGGAAACGTACGATGCGAGCTAGCGAGCACGTGATTGCGCACACGCACACTCGCGCTCCTGGAATAAATCGAGCGAGCTTGCGACGTATATAAAGCGCGCGCGCTGCGCTCAGAGCTAATTGAACAATTGAATGAACAAAGTGATGTTCAATTACAATTGTACGAACACCTCCTTCGAAAGATCAAATAGTAGTACCCTCCCTTCTGCCCCTAGACACCACACATTCAAAGTTATAAAATTCAAAAAATCTCGCTCGTGCTGCCACCGCGCCGCCCAACGGCCGGCGCCAGTGCGTACGTTATTCATATTTGAAAGTCGCCCGTAGATATTCTGGGTAATTTATACATAAATGGGTTATTCCGGGTGGGAAATTGATCTTTCGAAGGAGGTGTTCGTACAATTGTAATTGAACATCACTTTGTTCATTCAATTGTTCAATTGCACTTCACACCTCCTTCGAAAGATCAAATAGTAGATGTTCAAAGCATTATATATCTACGGGTAATATTTATTCCGTATACGGTCTTTGCGAATGTTGATTAAAGTAAGCAAGTATCTTTATTGAGTTTGATATACTTATTCATTACATTGATTTAAAATCTTCTTTGCAAACAGTGAATTATCTTGAGTAATTTGTCGGTCATAAAATTTCGCAAATGTATTCGACTTGGCTGACCATCCCGCTGTTTGTAGAATCGTGTCTACATTAACGCCCAGTCTCTTGGCAGCTGAGTTAGAGGCGTGACGTGTACTATGAGCCGAAAAAATCGTTGTATCGATTTTGCACTCCGCCAGTACCTCTTTAACCCAGTTGCTGAGAGTCTGTTTACATATAGGTTTTGCCGGATCGTTTATAGATAAAAAACATTCTTTGATTGAACCTCTTCTTTCGCGTGAATTTTCCAAGTAAAATTTTAATGTTGTTGCCGGACAAATCTTTTTATTTTTTGTATAAACCGGTAATAAAAGAAGCGGTTGATGAGAATTTTTTTTGGAATGCTTAACCCGATCTGGTATCGAAATTTCAATCTTATTGCTAAGTGTTCTTATGTTTTCTACTTTTATTAGAGATAAAGTTTGTATACGTTGGCCCGTAACAATCGCCAATAAAATTATTAATTTATATGAAAGATCTTTCCGGGACAGCTCTTCATTGGGTGGCTTTTTAGAGTAGTAGTCTAAGATGATCTTTGGATCCCACGTGTAGCTATATTTGGGCTGTGATGGCCTAAGTCTTATTACCCCTCTAAAAAATCGCCGTATGATCTGATCGTTGCCGATGTCTGTAGTTGCCACCAAGGAAATGGCTGATCGCGCTAAGTTAAGTGAGCTGTGCGACATGCCTCTATCGAATTCAGTTTGTAAGAACTCTATGACCTGGCTGGAGGTTGGGCGAAATATATTCTCTCTCTTAAGGCGACAGAAGCTCCACCATTTCTTCAATACTGGGATGTAGCTTTTAATTGTCGACTCGCCAATCGATGCTAGGCTAACATCTATTGCTGATTTTGGCACACCTTGCTTAATGAGCGCTGCCCGGATACATTCCCTGCCACCAGGGTAATCGATTTCCACAGAGGATGGAGTTTCCTGTCGGATAAAATTAATAATTTTTTATTAGGTGAGAACACGATCGGATCCGTTATCAAAAGCGATTCAAAAAGTGGAAACCAGGCTTGATTTTTCCAACACGGTACCACCAAGATGCCATTGGCTTTTTCGTCTTTAATTTTNTCGTTTCGGTTGCTCTTGAATGAGCGTTTCTCTTTCGTGGCAGATCTCTGGGGCCCGTTCCTGGTTGTCGACTGCGATCTGTCCTGGTTGCGACCCGGGCCCTTTGAGTTTTTTGGCTGCGTTGGCTTCCTGGCCAATATTTGGACGTCTTTTGTTGTCAATTGAGCTTGCTTGAGTCCTTCTGATAAATTCTTTCCAAATAAAAACTCGTCCGGCTGTGTGGATGACAATACGTCTTTAAACCCTGGATTTACGTTCGACATGATCAGAGCCTTGCGCACGGCACTTTCCTCA